ATTACCTGTTATCAGTGTTATTGCCAAATTACCAAACTTTTTCGTGTGTTATTATAGTACCCAATTTCAGTGTTATTACCAAGTTACCAAACTTTTTCGTGTGTTATTATAGTACCCAATTTCAGTGTTATTGCCAAGTTACCAAACTTTTTCGTGTGTTATTATAGTACCCAATTTCAGTGTTATTATCAACTTACCAAACTTTTTCGTGTGTTATTATATTACCTGTTATCAGTGTTATTGCCAAGTTACCAAACTTTTTCGTGTGTTATTATAGTACCCAATTTCAGTGTTATTACCAAGTTACCAAACTTTTTCGTGTGTTATTATAGTACTCAATTTCAGTGTTATTATTAAGTTACCAAACTTAAATATGTGGAGAGTAAATTCACATATAAACCATATATAAACGTATAAACCATAGAAATATGACAAGATATCTAATAACCAAATAAGGTGACTTTAATAATAGTTATTTCTATCTTTTACGATATTTCGCTGATCTCGAAAAATAATGTTCCTTTCAGCTCAGCTGATAAGTATATCTTCTGTCTTATTCACCCCCAATTTCATCATTTAATGATTTAAACCAATCTGGACCGTTTTACATAACTAATGTGATACAAAAGAAATTTCAAAAATGTGTGCTAAATAAAGATGTAGACTAACTTATTGATTCTCATCTTTTCTGTGAATTCGTGAAATCGAATGATATTATCTTTCCACTAAAATTAGGTAAATTGCATCAAAAGATTTAATATGAAAATTTAATACCTTTCATATCAGATTTATATATAATGTAGAAAAAAGAACTCTTGTAGAAGGGGCATAATATGAAGTTACACATTCTATATAATATTTGCCTTTACATAGGTTGGTTTGGGACAACATTTACCTTACTAATAAGAAATAAAATTCCTCGATAGTTCATTTTATTGTAAGAAATGAATCAAGGGCAAGAAACCCAATAAAACTAAGATATATATAAAGCTTTTCCATGGTATTACTAAGGATTGATTGTGTTCTTTTAAGTACGATGTTTAAGGTTCTATCTCTTCCATCATCGATCGTTCTGATGGACATAGATACATACTATTTCCGAACGCTGTAATTTCCATTCTGACAAGCTTCTGAAGAACAATCTCGACTTCCTTTCCACAGCCTCCCCCCCCCCCTCACACATACATACACACTGTACGTGGTCGTTGGATTTCAGGACTACGTAATATCAATAGTTTTGTTTGTGTTTTTTTTTTTTAGAGCAAAACCTATATTGGGCTATCTGCCGTGTCCAACGCGGAGAATCAAACCCCAGATTTTAGCTCTGTAAGTCCGTAAACTTACCGTTGTTCCAGCTGGGAACCAGTCTATTGGAGTTACATCAGAGGCCTTAATAGGTATATGGTCGAAAAGGTCTTACCACTGTTCCAGCTGGGGACAAGTCTATTGGAGTTACATCAAGGGCCTTAATAGGTGTATGGTCGAAAAGGTTTTGTTGAGATTCTAATTTTTCTGCCATCTTTCTTCATACAAATAGCCAATGATTTTGAAATATGAACGAAATACTTATTTTTTGTCTTGTTAACCATAACAATAGAGAAGGAATAAATGTTATAAAATTTGGAAAAGAAAAACACAATTTCTCGATCAGACTATTCCATTTTTTTATGTGGTTTTCAAACGAGACCCAAAACTCAAGCGCTTTCGAATAGTTCACTATTCTTCTTCAGAAGAATAAAGGATTATGTTTAATGAGTGTACTGAAAAACATAGGCACGAATGTCGACGTTATGTAAACCGGATGTTCAGTACGAGTTAGCCTTGAGAACTAGCCAATCATAATCTAGAGTTCAAATTCGATGACGAGGAACCCACTTTGAGACTAATAATGGCTGGAGACGGCCTAAATGGGCAATGAAGAAAAACTTTAATATAAGTTTAACATGACAGCAAATGTACAACGTTT